TTGCTGATAGGCACTGTCAATGAGGCACTATAGGAAAATTAGAAAGTGGGAGACAGGAAGGGAAATTATTATTTTTTTCTTTTTGTCCCTTGGTCTGAGTATCTGTCTGATGGCTCTAGCAGTGGCAGTTGATTTCCTAGAGGCAGTTGGTCCCAAGCTTCAGCTTATTTCATCATCCTCAGATGTGTAAGCAGCAACAGGCAGTGCCCCCCTTTTCAGAGATAAGAGACTAACTCTGTGAGGCCCCTCCACTGAGTTCCCAGGAACAGAAGGAATCCGCACAGTATCACATCCTCATAAGAGAACCAATTCCACCTAGGATTTACTCCAAGCTCCTGAATTTTGGAAATTAATCCCTTTCCCCAGAGTAGACAATCTAAATGACCAAGGTAAAAACAATTAGCTTTTTGTGATCTGTCCTCAGCAGTTTTATACTACACTTTCTTTTTTTCAAACCTCATTCTTCATGAGATAGTTATTATCTCTGGGTAACTTCAGTCTTGTCTTGTCTTGTCTTGTCTTGTCTTGTCTTGTCTTGTCTTTTGTCTTTTGTCTTTTTTCTTTTCTTTTCTTTTCTCTTTCACCTTTTCCAACGTGAGAAACAAGTTCCTTGTGTGAAATTTCTCTGAGTAATATTTCCCCTTTTCTTTCTGGGCCTTAATTGATCCAGAGAAGAAAGAAATACTGGTGAATAGCAGAAATAGCTACCATATATGGTTTTTGTGCATCATCCTTTTATTAGCTGTAATATTACCCCTATGGCATTGGCCCAGACTTTAGCAAAAGTATGTTTAGTTACTAGCTGGAGAAATTTAAAAACCCATCATATTGAGGGTTTTGAACTTATAATAATTTTGACAGTATTAATTTTCAGTGAGCTTCAATAAAGATACCACAGAGTGTGATTTTCACATGGGGTTCACTTCTTGAATCTTTGGATTGCTTCTGTTTTTTAGCACTTCAAGAAATTCTTTGAAGTTATTGCTTTGAATATTGCTTCTACCCTGTATTCTTTCTCCTCTTCTTCTGGGATGCCACTTTACATGTATACTAGAACTTTCTACTATGCTCTATATGTGTCTCATTCTCCATTTCCTTATTTTCTTTCTTTATTTTGTGTATTTATTATTTACCTGTTTTCAAATTTACACTTTCAGTCTTCAGCTGCTATTAAAGTGATTTACTGTGTTCATCAAATTACATATTATGTTTAATTCTATTAAGTTTATTGATTTCTTTATATAAATTTAAAATCTATTGCAATCTCAACATTTTAATAATTTTATCCATTTTTTCTATTTCCTTAAACATATCAATAATAAATATTTTATGATCATTGTGTCCTAACTCCCATATCTGCATCATCTGTGATTTTGTTTCTATTGTCTTTTATTGTTCTTATAACTCTATATTTTTGATTGGTTATTTATTTGTTTTGAATGCTAGACATTTTTAGAAAGCTTTTATGCTTCTGATAGGTTATTATTTTAACCTATAAATGAGGCTGATACAGAGATAAATAAGGCTGCTAATTTAATCCAAACCAATTCTTTACAGCTTTAAAATAGGGAAAGGGTCTTTAATAGTCAATTTGGCCACTTTTCCCAAATCCATTAGCTTATATACTTTTCACTCCAAATCTGGTGGGCTGTCAATAATTTTCTTGATTTACTTGACCCATAGAATCAGGTCTTTACCAGGGTCAAGCCCAGATTCTCATTTCTGGCCAAAAGTCATATATAACAAATGTCCCCAGTGACGAAAAACACCTATAGATACTAGTGTCATCTCTGAGTTTTTCCTTTTTTGGAATTTTAATCTCTCTAGTTATCATTGTTTCTACAGTCATCTGTTATCTTTAAACAAAAGGTGTTCCCCTGCTTCACATCTGGCTTTCTGCTGAACTGCTTGCCTTGCTTTCTTCAAAAACTTCAGGAGTGCAACCAGAAATTAAGGCAAAATCTTTCATGTATTTCTTTACAAGTTACACTATTGTATATGACTTAATAAATCTATTTTCTTTAAAATTTATTTTATTCCATATCATTCATAATAAATTTGCTTCCCTTATCAAATTCCAATAAATATTTCATCCTTCTCTGCTGTTTCAAAGCTCATGCGAAGAGGATATTTTAATACATAAAAAGTGAAACATTTGTGCCTGTTGAGTATTTAAATTTTAAACATTCTCTAAAATATAATTGATATTCCACAGAGAAATTATCTTTCCATACATATATATTAGTCAATTACTTATATTACTCTCTGTAGAAAATCTCTTTAGTTTCTTCTGTTACTAATTCAATTTGGTTTTTCATCAGTCTTTACATTTTAATATAGCTTTCTTAATAAAGAATAAACATAAAAGATTTACTTTTCTTATTTTCCTATAACTTTTTATTATATTTAATGTAGGAATAAATCATCTCCATGGCTTAGAGGACATGTTGACAAAAATCTAGATATTTTTTTTCTAAAGGGATTTTATTTAATTACTTTGCATTATTAGATACTTTCTAAAAATTCAGTTATGCCATTGTTTTCCTGGATGTTATATTAGTATATAATAAATATTTCATGCATGAGGTTCTGTGGAGAATATAAAAAATAAATGTTTGACCTAAAAATACATATTATGAGGCAATTTGTTAATACTTAGTAATTAGATGTTACAGACAATGTTGTCATTAGATAGATGTCAATGTTCCCATCTTTATTCTTCTTTTGGAGTAAAGAAGGAAAAACCTCTAGATTTTTTTTTTCTTTCTTTAGACCAGTCTCATCTCAGACACTTTGAAAAGCCTGCAGTTTTTTATACAGCCTTTTAATCCTACTATAAGGAATTAGACTCCATTTTAGCATCAACATTTCAGGTTTCCCTATAGATACCATAACTAGACTTAATTAACGTGGCTATTTTGTTTTTATTTTTAGAGTTAATGATGAAAGTTGTCAATTAGTAGCTTCTCCACAAGAATCCCCAGAGCTCTGTATTAGTTCTGAGTAAATATACTCTTTATTACTAAGGAACAAAGATACATTTATGGCGCTGTAGAGACAAAACCTTTTTATTCAAGAGAGAATGAGAAACTCTGGGTATTGACCAGAATTCTTAAAAAGCAACAAAATTACTATTTTGATCCTAATAAATAAATTAGGTTTCCAGATTTTAAGTTAGACTGAACTCAGACATTATTCATTTTATTTGTAGGAAAATCAGAAAAATGTTTTTGAAAATATCACATCTAAGCTGATGAGAGAGAGAAAGAAAGATCCACAAATGTTTGTTATTAAATATCCCTTGATTTTAATGTGAATAAGTTCTCGTTGAATGTAAGAAGATAGAAAAAATATGAATTAGAAAGAAACATATTTTTTGAAAAATGATTCATATTACATTTTTGGTTAATGATACAAAGAAAAATTTCACAATGCATCAACATACAAAACCCTTGTCAAGTTCATGGAAAGTAAGTATTTTTAGTATTTTGTAGTTTTGTGTACATAGCAAATGCTATGTAATCCATTTTATTCTGAAAGTGTGATCATAAGATTAAACTCATTAAATGTAGAACTAGAAAAAGAAAATATTTGTCTAATTCACTTTTAAAGATTCAATGCACATATCTTAAAGAAGATCTAAATTTGTTTATTAGAATAGCATTATGAACAATTTTTATTAAAAATTTGACTGGTATGTTTTCCTTTATTGTTAGTTAAGGATTGAGTACTTTAATAGCACCAAATGTAAAATATTTCTTACATTGATAAAGTTACTCATGAAATTGAAACAGACTAAACAATTGAGTTAATAAACTCCAAATTTCATGTAAAATTTTGAACTCATATTTATATACTAATTTTGAGATTTACACAGTACTAAAATTCATAAATGTTCTTTTTTTGGAAAAATTTCTAATTAGCAGTACCAAACAACCCCAAAACTAATCATAAATCTATTATCAGAAAATAAAAAAAAAGATTTAAAAAAGATTACCATTTTAAAAAGTTTATTTAATATACAAAAATATACAGAGAAGATATATTTCACTAAAAGGAACTGAGATTATTTTGACAATAAAGGGATTAACTAAGATAATCTAAAAATGGTTTTTTTGTGGATTTAGTTAAATTACAGTTATGTGTCAGTATTTTGGACAAAACTTTAAAGTAGAGAAATGTGCAGATACTTGTAACAGGAAATAATATAACCATTCTTTCCCAAAGTAAAAAAGATGTGAAAAGAGAATTAGAAAAATGAGTGTACAGAAAAAGAGATAAAATAAATGGAATTAAGCCTGGAGGAAAGCAAAAAAAGTATATGTGTTTTAACTGAGTTACTTAATTCTTCATATCACTTTTTAAAAAACCAGTAACATAGTAGTTTATTATCATTATCAAGTATTATGTGCTGTACATAATTGTATGTGTTATACTATTTTTAAGGGGTCATTTTTTTTTCTTTTTGAAATTTCAGACTATTAGGGGTTCACATAAATTGCCTTTGCACCTCCCTTAGTCAAAGGTAACAAGCATGCCCATCCCCCAGATGATGTGCACCGCACCCATTAGGTGTGAATTTAGCCATCCCCTCCACTTCCCTCCCACCTGCCTGATCCCTGATGAATGTTACTTTATTTATTTATAAATGTTACTCTATTTATAAATGTTACTTTATTTATTTATTTAATTATATGTGCACATATGTGTTGATCGATTAGCACCAATTTAATGATGAGCACATACAGTGCTTGTTTTTTCATTCCTGTAATACTTCACTTAGAAGAATGGCTCCAGCTCCATCCAGGATAATACAAGAGGTATTAGTTACCCATTTTTATGGCTGAGTAGTACTCCCTGGTATACATATACCACATTTTATTAATCCACTCATGTATTGATGGGCACTTGGGTTTAAATTTATACTGAGTGAAGACTTTTTAAACAGATAAATCATTTATTTTTTTCCAGATCTGATGGAATTCACAAGAAATTTAACCATGAGAAACCATACAATGGTGACAACATTCATTCTTCTAGGACTGACAGATGACCCAAACTGGCAAATTATAATTTTCATTTTTCTATTTCTAACATATTTACTGAGTGTGACTGGAAATATGATCATTATCCTGCTCACCTTGCTGGATGTCCAACTTAAAACACCCATGTATTTCTTCCTTCGGAACTTTTCCTTTTTAGAAATCTCATTGACATCTGTCTGCATCCCTAGATTCCTGGTCAGCATAGTGACTATGGATAAAACTATTTCCTATGAGGCTTGTGCAACACAATTATTTTTTTTATTTTTTGGGGTGCATCACAGTTTTATCTGTTGGCTGTCATGTCCTATGACCGCTACGTGGCCATCTGCAAACCCCTTCATTATGCAACCATTATGAGTAACAAAGTCTGCAACCAGCTGGTTATTGCCTCTTGGTTGGCTGGTTTGTTAACAATCTCTCCAGGACTTATTCTGGGCTTGAGATTGGAATTCTGTGATGCCAATATTATTGACCACTTTATTTGTGACTATTCTCCTGTTCTGAAACTCTCCTGCACAGACACCCGGGTCATAGAATTGTTAAGTTTCATTTTAGCCATTATCTCACTCCTTACTACATTGACAGTGGTCATGTTTTCATATGCAAATATCATAAAAACAATTCTGAAGATCCCTTCTGCTCAGCAGAGGAAGAAGGCTTTTTCTACTTGTTCCTCCCACATGATTGTTGTCTCCATCTCTTATGGCACCTGCATTTTTATGTATATTAAACCTTCTGCAGAGGAAAGGGTATCTTTAAACAAGCAAGTAGTAGTACTCAGCACCTCAGTTGCACCTGTATTAAATCCTTTTATATATACCTTAAGAAATAAGCAAGTGAAACAAGCTCTGAAGAATTTAGTAAAAAAATGTATGTTTACTACTTTGAAATAATAGTTTTGGCTTTTATAAAAGATTACCACTCAAGTTTATTAAAAATTGTAGCCTAGATGAGCTACCCTTCAACATATCTCTTTTAAATTTTTGTATTATGATTTAGTAAGTAAAGTCACTCAAAAACAGCTATTTTATCTACTCTTGGAGTTTTATCATGGTAATGATATTTTCTGTATCCATGATGTTGTCTTATGCATTGCTAGAATGACTTCATTCTTTCAACTTAATTATCTTTGTTCATCTTTAGAATATGAACTCATTTTGGAAATCTAATACCTTTATATTTTTCTAACATAGATATGCCCAGAATATAGATCACTTTTTAACTCTTTAAATATTAATTTGATTTTATAAATCTCTAGGAAAGATTTCTTTCATATATCACATAATGTTAATGTTTTACTAAATTTGTGATGTTTCCAGAAACATAATAGTGAACCTACCAAAGGGGGCTTTTTCATTTAGTAAAGAGGACTGGTACTGAAAGCTAATTTAAAGAGCCTAAGTAGATTATCTCAATGTCACACAGCAAGTAAATGTTAGATCTTAAATTTGTATCTAGATTTTAAAATTCAAATCCTGTACAAGGAACAAGTAGGCGATATGGACTTTTTATGTGAATACACTGGCATTGAACTGAAAAAATAGTTACCTTAAAACTATTTAAAAACCCGTCCTCAGAGGCAGAGAAGATTGGCTCTGTATAACTCTAGACACACAACTAAATCCTGTGTTTGAGTTTTCAAAATATATATTCTAACTCATACAGAAGTGTTTCACATCTTGCAATGTGCCATATTTTCTCTCACTAGTATGTCTTTACACATGTTCTTTTCTCCCTCTGCTTCCTTTCTATTCCACATACTGTGCCGTAAATATTCATTAATGTTCTTCTAGGCTTAAGAAACCACTCTCTATTAAGAGATACTTTTACTCAGTATGTGTGAGTTTCTGTGTCTCTACACAATTATTAAAAAGGAATATATACATATATATTAAATTAGACAATCTAATGAGCAAACCATGCATTTGAGTGGTATAAATTTAATTTCTTAGACAGCAACTCTGTCATTTCTCCTTTATCTGGATTAATTTGTCTTTATAGCTTATAGTAATAAAAGTATTTGTTATTTATTTGTTTCACACATAGAACGTAAGCTCAGTGAAAGTAGGGGCTGCAATATGTTCAACACACTATTCTCAAAGCTGAGCATGGGATCTGGTACAAAATGATGCTCAATTATAATTGTTAACTAAATGCCAAGTCCAGAATTCTCATATCTTTAATTTAAAGAAATGTTTTAACATCATTCTTTAATATACTTTGTCAGAAATTTTGAATAGTTTCATGTTTTTTGTTAATGTAAACAATAAGACATGTTTTCTGTTTATAAGGAATGCTATTTATTTTAATAAAGGTTACCATTATTTCTTTTTAATTATGTTTTTAAATTTAGTCTAATAATATTTATTTTTAATTTTTGTGTTTAATTATTACATGTTGTTTATCATAGTTTAACATAAGATATAACATAACATATTTCCATATATATCTATGTCTATCATCTGCTTCACATCCATCTCCTCTAACATCTGTCTTTCTGTATATTTGCAGCTATATCTCACTTTTATAATCCATTCTTCTGGGTAGTCATCTGTGATTTTTCTACCTTAGCACTGCTTATATTCTATCCTGGAGTAATATTTAAATTCCACATTTTTGACTCTCTCTTATTTGTTTTACACACTCATTTTGGTCATTTAAAAATGTTCTAAATTTTGAGAGAGATTTTAATTTTTTCTCCTCTTAATCACAGCTTTAATGTGCTGCAACACCAGAGATATGGATTTTCTTTTATGGATTTGACTTTTATTTCCATAATAATATTATAAGATTGTCTATGTCTTTGTGGATCTTTCTTACCTTATCTATCTTTTTAAAGCCTTTTCTTATAATCTTGTTTTATTTTTAGTATTACTGCTATAGATTGCTTTTTTATAGGGCTTGGTATTTTACTTTGAATAAAATCATATATATATATGTAGGTATATATATACACATACATACATAATTTTTAAAATAGTGCTGAACTTGCTGAAGAATCTCAAACTCTCTTCTGGATTTGGGATTTTTCAGCAATACCTTTGTCTTTGAGTGTGTATTTTCTTTTTAAAATTTATTTTATTGATAAATTTGATATTTTTGTGAGAGAAAATAGGTTGTCAGGAATAGAGAACCAAATCATAAGATGGTACCCTGAGAAAATACAAGCTCCACATAATAGAGTTTGGCTTTAATTAGGAACTGTGTGGACTATGTGGGCTGTATATTTAAGGTTAGCCTACCGAGGAGTGCCAGCCTGTGGAAAGGAGGTAAAAGGGAAGCTTGAGAGAAAGGGATGTGTTGAGGCTGTTACTTTAGAGCTAAAGATCAGTAATTCCACCTAAGGCAGGCGTAAGACTTACTACCTTCAGTAGTCAATAGAACTTAAGGAGATTTTAATTTGTATCAGGAATTAAAGCTAGCTTGCAAGAAATAGCTTTTTCTTTTTCATTCTTCTTTCCCCCCTTTTCTCTTGATTTCTTTTCCTTTTATATTATTATCTTATTTCCCTCCTCCCTTCCTTCCTTTCCCCTCCCTCCCTCCCTCTCTCTCTCCCTCTCTCTTTCTTGAAAAGAAAGAGTGTGCTGGATGGCAGCTATTTTTCATACATTTTCTTTCTTCTCATTTTTTATAGGTTTTCTATTACATTTTCCTTTATATTTCTCCTTTCTTTACTCTTTTCTCACAGCAAAGTTTCTAAAGGTGTATACTTGTAAGACAGTATATTTGTTACTGTTTTTTGTGTGTGACATAGTCTGCTATCCCCTGTGCTTACTTATTTGATCTTCTGAATTAAAGGAATCAATTAAAAATAGAATCATCAACATGGCATATGCCCAATATTTTTCCTCCAAATCTTGTGATGTGTGTGCTGTATCTATCAAAATCCAATAAATCACCACCACTGTCCACCATACATGCACTCCTTTTATACTTTCTTTTACAGACCATAGCCATATGTATTGGAGATGCATGATCATGTATTCAAACATAACTCTATTTCACATTATTAGAACACATCAGGGCAGAAAAAAAGGCTTTCAATTTGTTAATTAAAAACACAACAAAACAAAATGTCTTTTCCTCTGAATCTGGAGACAAAGGATGGAAAAGTTTGAAGTGTCTTTCTAGTATTTTCAGGGAAACTCAATTTCTTGAAGTGATTCCTTCATAGGTTTCATACTGAGGATTACTATTTTTATTTTCTTCTTTCTTTTTTATATTTAGCTCTTTTATAATTAAAAATTCACCTTACATTTATTTAGTGGAGGTTGTTCTAAAATTCTTGTGTTAGATCCTCTTCCCTGTGTGTGTGTTTTATGATTCTGAGAGTTGTCATCATATAGTGTTTATCCCCAAGTGTTCTTTACTTATGGACATAGAGACTTCAGAAGACAATTTTAATCAGCTTCTTTCTTTCTTTTTTTCGGGGGGAGAGGTAAATCTCTCTCTATTGCCTGGGTTAGAGTGCAATGACATCATCATAGTTCATTGCAACCTCACACTTCTGGGCTCAAATGATCCCCCTGCCTCAGCCTCCTGAGAAGCTGGGACTACAGGTGTAAGCCACCATGCCCAACTAATGTTTGTAGTTTTTGTAGAGACGAGGTCTCACTCTTGCTCAGGTTGGTCTCAAACTCCTGACCTCAAGTAATCCTCCCTCTCTGGCCTCCCAGAGTGCAATGTTTACAAGCGTGAGCCACCACACTTGGCCTAGCTTTAGCTTCTTCTACCTAACTGTATCAATTAACATATCTCCATCTTTTTATCTTCCAAACTTACTGAAGTATTTCATTTGATATTGTTCCCACTAACGTTCTCTTCTTCAACTTTCATGCACTTTCCATCATTTGTAATATTTTTCTATAGATTTTCAGGAGTGTAAATAGTCTACAATGTAAATTTTGTGCTCTTTAACTAAAATTTCCTGAGTTACTATTTTTTCTGATAATTCCTCTTTTATTGAAACTTGAAATCTAATAAAGCAATCTGTATATTTAAAGGCCTGATATGTAATTTGTGGGCTTATTTTTTATTACCACGTCCATTATAAATGCCCAAGTCTATGTTACTCTTGCATCAGCAGAATTGTAAAGGCTCTTCAGTAGGGAAATTATACAAGTGAAAATGATATACTGCCTCTTTTACAAAGAAGTTATGAGCATATTAGTTATTTTCACAAAGGTGAATTTAAAGAAAAGCAGAAATATTAGGGGAGTTAGTCCTGTTTTTGACAGATAAATCTATAATTTTACATATGCATGCTATCTTTGGCAATGAAGAATTGAAGTAATATCTGTGAAGTCCTGAAAGGTTGTTTCCCTACTTTGTGTTTTACCATATGAGTTTATTGAAAAAAATACTAAATTTGTAAAACTATTCAATTTTCAGTTTCTCAACTGATTTAAAAATAATTAATTTATTTCTGGTGCTCAATAAAAGCACAAATCCTTGATACTTTATTGGATGTAAATAAACATATAATAAAAATGAGTCTATATTTGGTAGGAAGAATCATAGGGAATGTTGCATGAAATTATCAATCCTAGTTTAATCTTAAATACAAAAATAAATCAGTCCTGAGTCTATTCTTATGCTAAGTAACATCCAACAACACAATATTTATGTTCGGAAAATGATCTAACAAAAAGTTACATCATTTTAAGTCACCATAAAATGACTGATGTATTTATTGATTCAATAAATATAAGTATATTTATTCATTCAATATATTATTATTAGTCATTCTAGCATCTGAAAATATAGTGTTGAACATGCACACAAAACTATATAAGATATAAAAGAAAAAGTATAACATAATAAACTATGTCATTACTATTTTTATAAGCCAAGCACTTGATCATGTGATTGAATTGCCTCTTCACCATTTTTA